CACAATAACAACTTTAAAAAAGAGCTGGAAAACTTAACTGCTAAAACAAACATTTTATTCATGAACAGGCAAATCAAATAATCATTCTCAGAAGAAAAAAAATGGCCAACAAGCACACAAAGCAACATTCAGTCTACTTAGACATTAAGGAAATACGAATCAGGCCAACACTGAGATTCCAACACACCCTAGTCATAAGGGCGATCATCCAAAAAGCAAGCAGTAACAAATGCTGGTAAGAGTAGGGTGAGGAGACTGCCAGTGGAAATGTCCTTAGTGCAGCCACGACAGAAATCACTGTGTAGGCTCAGCTAGGAATGGAGCAGGTTTCCAGCACAGTTCAGGTAGCAGAGTACTATCCGCTAACAGGCACCAGGTCCTGAGTCCAAACCTCAATATAGAAAAAATAATTGAAAACCCTACTATATGAGAGTACCCCCTGACCTTTCCTAGTATACTCCTGGGAATATAGCCGAAGGAAGGCAAGCCAGCAGACAACAGAAATTATATCACAGCACTATTCACAATAGCCAAGCTAGGTGATCAGCCTAGGCACCCAGTAATCAATGAATGGAGAAAGAAAATGGGATACATATACAAATGCAGTATTGCTCAGAACGAAAATAGATGGAAGCCAGGACCAGAGGCTCACATCTGTAATCCAAGCTACTCAGGCTGAGGTCTGAGGATCACAGTTCAAAGCCAGCCTGGCAGAAACGTCCGTGAGACTCTTATCTCCAATAAACGAATGAAAAAACGCTGAAAGTGGAGCTGTGGCTCAAGTGGTAGAATGCTAGTCTCGAGCATGGAGAAGCTCAGAGACAGTGCCCAGGCCCTGAGTTTAAGCCCCAGGACAAAAAAAAAAAAAAGAGGTCACCAGTCCATGACATTAGAAAACATCTTGTCATATTCATCATGCTTAGCTATACTCTTTTCATCTCTAATTGATTTAACTGCAGAACTGAACATGTACCTCACTGGCTCAGTATATACTCATCATACATAAGGCCTTGGGTTCCATCACCAGCACAGAAAAAAACCATAAAGAAAAAGCAAGCAACTTCGAATGCAACATCTCCTAAAACAGAACAGTGTTCTTCTAATCATGGCATAGTGTATGCATATACAGAAATATCAGAATGAAACCCTGTAGTCCAACTGACTGATGTAAATCAAAAATGTGAAAGGCCTGTGAGTTAGCCTTTCTAAAGAATTACACTGCTTGAGTTTTCCCCTGAAGTATTTCAGTTAATACTTTTGTGTATACTTGCATACCTACTAAAGCATTTACTTATTTATTTACAACCTAATTCTAGCTTCCACATATGTTAAGTGAAGTAACTCAGATTCAGAAAGACAAACAGTATATGTTTTCTCTTAAATGTAGATGTTAGATATAAACATATACAGGGTCATATGTGCAAACAGACTAAAGAATGGTATACTTGGGAAGATTCTAACTGTAACTTCTCTGAACAACTAATGAATTGTTAAACAAATGAATACCAGGAAACTGAAACATGGCTTTTCTTGGGGGTGGGGGTGGGGGCAGGGATAGGAAGGAGGTTAGATGAATAGAAAGGAAAGGGTAGACAAATATAGTCATTGGGCTGGGAAGGTGGCTCAGTGGTAGAGCGCTTGCCTTGCATGCCTGAGACCCTGGGTTCGATTCTTCAGCACCACATAAGCAAAAAGAAAAAAGCCAGAAGTGGCGCTGTGGCTCAAGTGGTAGAGTGCTAGCCTTGAGCTGAAGAGCTGAGGGACCCAGGCCCAGAGTTCAGGCCCCACGACTGGACCCAAAGATGCACTGTATTCATATTCTGACTTGAACTACTTGTACAACTACTTAGAATTTAAAAGTTTAAAATAAAAAGATTAGATTGCCAGAAAAGAAAGTAACATGAATTACAGGTGCTCCATCAGTTTGTAAGACAGAAATCTGAAATAGCCATCAGTTTGGTTCTAGAAAGATCTCTGAACTGTGTATAGTTATTTAGGTGAGTGGGTCAGGGCCCTGTCATGAGAAAGACAGAAGGAAAATCAATCCCTTCACAATACTCTTTCTAGCAACGAATGGGAAGTGATGGTCACGGGAAGATGAGTCATTCTAAGCAGGTGATGTCAGTCAAAAGACCATCAGTGCTCCAGCCAGCGCTCCAGGCTTGGAGATGTGGCATACCCGTACATGAGAAGGGAGAGGAGGCTGTGACGGACACTGTCTGTTATTCCTAAATAAAAATGTGAGGTGACATGGAACAACCATCATAGCTGATAGCGTATTTCTGAGTGACAGCCATTGGTTGGCACAGTCTCATTTCCAAAACATGCATAGTCTTTATCATTCCTAAGGACAATGATTAAAATGCTCTTTCATACAAAAGGTGGAAGGAAGGGAGGGAAGAAGGATGGAAGCAAGCAATAATCATCTGAATAGGGGCTGGGAAAGTGGCTCAGTGGTAGAGCGCTTGCCTTGCATGCATGAGGCCCTGGGTTTGATTCCTCAGCACCACATAAGCAAAAAGAAAAAAGCCGGAAGTGGTGCTGGGGCTCAAGTGGTAGAGCGCTAGCCTTGAGCTGAAGAGCTGAGGGACAGCGCCCAGGCCCAGAGTTCAGGCCCCACGACTGGGGGGGGGGGGAGAAGCTGGGAGGAAAAATAGGAAGTTTTGGTCTACAGAAAGAAAATTTTAGACCAAGCAGAATGCATACCTGGGTCCAGGAACCCCCCGAAGCACCGTCTCACAGAGGCTTTCCACAGTCAAGGCCCCAGGTGGCCGAGTACAGGGTACGTCCCTGCTGCCTGTCCCACACACAGGCAAGACTGGCACGGTCTCCCGCTGCTAAGCCATGCACCCAGCACCCTGACCCACAAGGAGGTGACAGTGGGGCTTCAGCACAGCTGTAGGGAAAGGCAATCAAGACGGAGGGCTGACTATGACTCACCATGCATGACTGCCAAGGACACACCAAGGTCATAGCACCAGGCGTGACCTGCCCCTACCACAGGTGTTTCTGGGCTTAATTTCTCCTGCTTTTAATGCTGTGTTTTTTGGACCCTATGCTTTCATGGACACTGGCCATGAAATCTCTATCCTGTGTCTGCAGATTTTATCTCCCCCAGCCTGCGACATCACCCTGAGATTACATGCCAAGAAGCAAAACAATGAAGTCACAATAGCTCCAGACTATGTAAAAACAGCCAGAGTGCACGTGAAAACAAGTGAGTCTAGAAAATATTAAGCAATTACAGGGATGAACTCAACACACAAAAAAGGAAATCAGATCCTTTGCCATCGACAGTAATACACTCTTATTCTGGTTCTGGGTTTTTAGTATACGTATACCAATTCTGTCTGTAACTGTTTTGTAAGTTATTCACTTAATTCTCACTTTAAAAACATTAGCTTCCTTAGGTTTCAAAATTTCATGTCAAAGTTCATTTCCACCAGGGTGTGCGGTCCGTACAGACTGAGGTAGGAGGACCGCTCCAGATGAGGAGCAGCTCAAAGCTCAAGTCTGAGCAACACAGTAAAACCCTGTCTTGAAAAATGAAAGTATGCTTATGACCAAATCAAAGATATGGATCCATATTCCTTAAAAGATAAATAATCTCCGCTACCGATCACAAAACAGACCTGAATCACATTTGTACCAAGCTTAGTACTTTCGAGTTAATCCGGAATGTCAGCATGGTTTGAAGGAGATCACTGAAGGTGTCTATAGAGTGTTTCCAGGGAGGGTCAGGTAGGGGGGCAGACGTCCCCTGAATGGGGCTGCACCATCCCATAAACAAAAGGGGAAGGGGGAAAGCCCACAGTGCAGGGACACGCTCTGACTCTCTTACTCTGAAACCATTTCTTCTTTCCCACCTGTCTCTCCGCTCCCCCACTCCCCCTGTGTCCTGGCTACCCTGAGGTGAACAGCTCTGCCACTCCAACACAATGGTTGAAACCTCTAAAGCCACAAGCCAAAAATAAATCATCCCTCCCTTCAGTTGTTTACGTCACATCTTTTGACACAGCAATAAAAACTTAGCAACTACTAAGCAATGAACCTTAACTTTATCTAGCCAAGTTATTTGTCTACTTATTTATTTATTGCCAGTTCTGGGGCATGAACTTGGGTCCTAAGTGCTGTCCCATAGCTTTTTTGCTCAAGACCAACACTACTACTTGAGCCACACGTCCACTTTCTGGCTTTTTGCTTGTTAACTTGAGATACTTAGCAATCCCACATTAGCTCTGAACCACAATCCTCAGATGTCAGCCTCCTAAGTAGCTAAGATCATGCATATGAGCCACTGGTACACTGCAGTCTGACTACATTTAAATACAACTTTTTCTCAGTGATCGTTGGTCTCACGATGACTATACCAGTAGCAAAGAAAACACATTTTTCCTTGTATGTAGAAGCTAGACTTAGCTTCATCTATACGTAAATACCTTGGGTAGTATATAAACCAAACAGTATATTCCTCAAAAAGGCAAAGTTCAGCAAAATAAAACACCAGGGGTGCAGAGAGGGAGGGGGAAGGGTGAACCGATGCAATCATAGTATTCAGTAGACACTGTGGAACATGACCTATGTACCTTGTGGGCAGGGAAGCGAGGGGGAAACTAGGGAAAGCAAGAGAAGATTGTCCAAAAACAGGAATGCACTCATTACCACACTTAGGAAACGGTAATCCTTCTGTATAACACCTTAATAATAACGACAAAACTGTATTTTAAAATAAAATATGAAACACTAGGAAGCAGGTACTTTGACTGACAGAGTCAAAGGGAAAGGGGTGGACAAATGAAGAGGAGAGGATGGGGAGACACCACCAAGAGTCCAATGTATATCCCACAGAATTAAGAAGGGTAGGGAACGGGTGAGAACACTGAGAGGCGATACTGAGGTAGTGCATTCATAAGCGGCTTTTTCCAATGGCAGCTCCCTGTACAGTCCACTACTTAGAGATAATAAAGGATAAATTTTAAGTGAGGTTTCTAAGAAGATACCTTGGGCTCCTTCTTCTTGTGCTCTTCCTTGGACAGTCTCTCTTTCCTCTCAGTGTGGTTGCGATGCCTCTCGTCATCAAGGTCCCTATGCCGTTTCTCTCTGTGTCTCTCTTCCCCTTCCTTGTCAGTGAGAAAGTTCCCCTTTTCTTTCGAATGTTTTTCTCTCTTCTCTCTTGTGCTGCCTTTTTCTTGGTGTTTCTTTTCTCTATCTACTTCTCTAGGCTTTCTATGTTTTCTCTCATCTTCTTCTTTATAAAGCCAGAACTTGAGAGGGTTGTCTTTATTGTCACCATACTGCAGCTGAGGGACAACAGAGAGAAGTGTGTGAGCAAATGCAAACACATCCTCGGCCTTCTACGTGTTTTGGTAAGAGACCACCAGGGACAATCCTTTAACTACCACGGTACCTCTCACACCACTGTTCCACTCACAGATGCTGCTGGCTACCCAACCTCCACCACCACAGAGATGCCGAAGCCCAGTGCACTCTCTCTGCCGTGGTCACAGGGTCCAGCTTTCCCAGTGGGATGGTTTGGATGCTCCAAGTCCCTGGAGGGCCCCTGTTGGTCCTCCGCCACCCTGCACCCTGCATGAAGTCTTCGTAACTTCTCTAGGCAAATGGTCACTTTGCCAAATGCCACAGTGTTTGTAATGACACTGAATCACCTACTTCACTATCCCATCTAGATGGGAGTCTTGAAAATGAGGACCACCCCTCATTAGTTATCCATATAACCCCCAAACATTGCAGAGACTCAGTACATAACTGGTGACATCAACTTAAGTTGTCCAACGATTGTACAAGGAATGCTCCAGCCAGCGCTCAGTGCTGAGAGCCGCCGGTCAGCCCTGAGGCACACCTCACCCCAGCCTTCCCCACAAGGTCACCTCTGCTCATCCAGGCCAGGGTCTCTGCCCGTGCTCCCCGTGGTCCCTCCACTTCCCCTGGGATCCCGGCAGCCTCCTCCATTACCTGACCAAGTATAACTATAAAGCTGAGAAACTGCCAAAGGAACCTCATGGGAATTAAAGACTTAAGTCTAAAAACAAAGTTAAAGATCCAGAACAAAAAGCAAACAACTACTTACATAACTCTAGAGTGGGAAAAGGGCTCACCAAGCATTTCATCAACAAGACAACAGACTTGTTCACTTCGGAGTTTACACGCTGGGCCCAATAGCTCAAGTTTATAATCCTAACTACATGTGTGGCAGAGATCCCGGGATTAAAACTTACAGCCAGCCTGGTCACAGAAGGTCAGAAGACTACATCTTACTCATGGTACCTGCCACCCAGCAAGAGGAGAGGCACGCTGCTGGGTGCCTCACCACTGGCTTGTCACCCCGAGACAAGGGGAAACACAGACAGGGAGCTACAACCCACACCAACCCGGGCACAGAGCACCACTGGCTTGTCACCCCAGAGACAAGGGGAAACACAGACAGGGAGCTACAACCCACACCAACCAGGGCACAAAGCACCACTCTATCTTTTTTTGTTGTTGTTGTTGGTCCTGGGGCCTGAACTCTGGGCCTGGGCACTGTCTCTGCACTCTTCAGTTCAAGGCAAGCACTCTACCACTTGAGCCGCAGCGCCACTTCTGGTTTTCTAGTGGTTTATTAGAGATAAGAGTTTCACAGACTTTCCTGCCCAGGCTGGTTTTGAACCATGATCCTCAGATCTCAGCCTCCTGAGTAGCTAGGGTTACAGGCGTGAGCTACCCGCACATGCCTAAGACAAAAGGGCTCTGGAAGAGTAGCTCCACTGGGATAGAACCAGACAAACTTAGGGTCCTGAACTCTATCCCAAGTACTGCAAACATAACAACAGACACACACATATACATATGTAAATAACCCACAAGTCAAATTCAAAACAAAACAACAACATAAATGACTAGCAGAGATAGCCTTTTAAAGTAGGCTTAAAAAAGTAAGACAGCCGGGCATCAGTGGCTCACACCTGTAATCCTAGCTACTGAGGAGGCTGAGATCTGAGGATCACAGTTCAAAGCCAGCCGGGGCAGAAAAGTCCGTGAGACTCTTCAATTAACCACCAGAAAACCGGAAGTGGTGGCTCAAGTGTCGTAGAGCGCTCGCCTTGAGCTGAAGAGCTGAGGGACAGTGCCCAGGCCCAGACCAACCAAAAAAGGAAAAGAAAAAGAAACAAACAATCCAGGTTGGGAAAGTGGCTCAGTAGTAGAGTGCTTGACTAGCAGGCATGAAGCCCTGGGTTCGATTCCTCAGTACCACATATACAGAAAAAGCCAGAAGTGGCGCTGTGGCTCAAGTGATAGTGCTAGCCTTGAGCAAAATTTGAAGCTCAGGGACAGTGCTCAGGCCCTGAGTTCAAGCCCCAGGACTGGCAAAAAGAAAGAACGAATGAACAAAAGAAAGAAAACCATCAAGAGCTGGTGAGAATGTAGTGTGTGAGAAAGAAACCCTTGTTCCCTAATGATGGGAATATAAACTAATGCAACCTGGAAATCAGTAAAAAACTAGAACTGGACCTCCTATGATCCTGCTATACCCTCAGGCACAAAATCTAAGGAGTGTGAATCAACACAATCACAGCACTATTGACAACAGCCCAGCTGGGAAACCAGCCTAAGTGCCTATCAGCCAACGAATGAATAAAGAAAATCCAGTAAATGCATAACAGAGTATAGCCATAAAAAAGAAATTACCCCTTGGGGCTGGGAAGGTGGCTCAGTGGTAGAGCGCTTGCCTTGCATGCCTGAGGCCCTGGGTTTGATTCCTCAGCACCACATAAGCAAAAAGAAAAAAGCCGGAAGTGGGGCTGTGGCTCAAGTGGTAGAGCGCTAGCCTTGAGCTGTGCCCAGAGTTCAGGCCCCAATACTGGACCCAAAAAAAAAAAAAAGAAAAAGAAAAATGTGGTACATATACACAATGAAAAAATTTTACTCATCCATTAGAAAGAATAATATTATATCATTTGCAGGGAAATGGATGGGCCTAGAAAAAATTATGTTAAGTAAGTCAGGCTCAGAGAGACAAACAGCACATGTTTTCTCTCATATGTGGAAGCCAGACACACATAACATACACAGGGCTTTAAGCTCAGTAGTAGAAACAGGCTTTCAGGAGAGGGCAGTCAGAGGGGCCAGAAGGAAGGAGGGAGCTATCATATTTGATGTACATTATGTAAAGCCTAACTACGTAGCTTGAGGGCAGTAGGCATGGGAGGGGGGGGTGATTGGAGGAGATAATGGCAGGGGTGATAATGACCAAGACTAATAGTACTCATAACCTGATTTACGGAATTAAAATCATTTGTACAACTTCTTAATCACAATTTTAAAAAGGAAAAGGGGAAAAAAAGCTAGTAGAGAAGATTTCAAATGTTCCTAAAACAAAGAAATGCAAAACAGTCTGAGATGTTGGATTTTCAGTCACCTGTTACAATGTTGCAATCATTACACATGGTACAGGTATTAAAAAGAAACACTGTGCTGTGCACCAGTGGCTCATGCCTACAATCTTAGCTTCTCAGGAAGCTAAAGATGGAGGACTACAGTTCAAAGCCAGCTCAGGCAGGAAAGTCTGTAAGATTAATTAATCACACACACAGACAGACACACAGAGGCAAAACTGGGTCTGTGGCTCAAGTGGTAGATCACTAGCCTTGAGGAACAAAAGCTCAGGGACAGAGCACAGGCCCTGAATTAAAGCCCCACAACTAGCACACGCACACATACAAAAAAGTAACACTGCACCCTAAAATATGAACACTTACGATATGTTAATTTAAACTACATTAAAAAAAATTAAACTTTCAGCTGGGCGCCAGTGGCTCACGCCTGTAATCCTAGCTACTCAGGATGTTGAGATCTGAGGATCGTGGTTCAAAGCCAGCCTGGGCAGGAAAGTCTGTGAAACTCTTATCTCCAATAAACCACTACAAAACCGAAGTGGAGCTGTAGCTCAAGTGGTAGAGCGCTAGCTTTGAGCTGAAGAGCTGAGGGACAGCACTCAGGCCCAGAGTTCAAGGCCCATGACCGACAAAAAAAAAAAAAAAAAATTAAACTTTCAAAAATTTCATTATCTTGTGGATCAAATTAGCAATATTAAAAATAATAGTTACCTGTCCAGAATATGATAAATTATACTGTGATGTTATGAATAACTATATAATTCTTATGTAAAAACAGTGGGTTAGGTTTATATTTTTTATCTAATCCATTCATTTCCAGAAATTAACCATAAATAATTAGAAATAAATATAAAAAGTTCACACAATGGATGTCTTTATACTTAAAAAAAATCAAGCAATCTAGGTGTCCAACAATTGCAGATAGGACAAGTAAGCCATATTACTAAATATTAATTACAATTCACTCAAATACTACAAAAAATATCGTAACTCAGGAAAATACTCAAGATGTATTAAGTTTAAAATAGTATAAAGCAACAAAATGCTGTTGTCTTTAATGTACTATGCAATTTCTTGTTTCTATTATATGTTCTTCCCCCTATGGCATATCCCTTGTTGTCACTGGACTTGATTTTGGTATGCTGGTATCGTGTGTGTGTGTGTGTGTGTGTGTGTGTGTCTGTGTGTGTGTGTGTCTGTGTGTGTGTGTGTCTGTGTGTCTGTGTGTGGGTATCTGAATTAGGGAAGGGAAAGAGAACAACAGAGTGAGATAGAAGACAAGAGGGAGGGACCATTTCAACAGCAATATTCACAAGACAAAATGTTAGAAATGATCTGTACAACTTGGGGGTGGGGGAAGGGAAAGTATGAGAAAAATGAGGGAAGGGGTAAGAAGTTTGACAAGAAATGTACTTATCCGGGCTGGGAAGGTGGCTCAGTGGTAGAGTGCTTGCCTTGCATGCATGAGGCCCTGGGTTCAATTCCTCAACACCACATAAGCAAAACGAAAAAAGCCGTTAGTGGCACTGTGGCTCAAGCAATAGAGCGCTAGCCTTGAGCTGAAGAGCTGAGGGACAGCGCCCAGGCCCAGAGTTCAGGTCCCACGACCGGACCCAAAAAAAAAAAAAGAGAAATGTACTTATCGGGGCTGGGAAGGTGGCTCAGTGGTAGAGCGCTTGCCTTGCATGCCTGAGGCCCTGGGTTTGATTCCCCAGCACCACATAAGCAAAAAAGAAAAAAGCCAGAAGTGGCACTGTGGCTCAAGTGGTAAAGTGCTAGCCTTGAGCTGAAGAGCTGAGGGACAGTGCCCAGGCCCAGAGTTCAGGCCCCACGACCAGACCCAAAAAAAAAAGAAATGTACTTATTAATTTACTTATGTAACTGTAACCCCTCTGTATATCACCTCGACAATAAAAAAAACCACAACACCAAAACTAAAAAAAGCAACAAAAAACCAATTTAAGGAAATTACATAAACACATTCATACATATATTACATACACACATACGTATATATATGTATATATATATGTATACATACACACATATATATATAAATGGGGTAGGATATATATACTTAAATATTATCAATAATCTCTAAGTGGGGAATAGTTTTAGTTTTATTATTATCTGTGTCTTCCAAACTTGCTAAATTAAGCAAGAGTTAGTCTTAGAATCAGAGAAAAACCACGAGACCTCAAAAGAAGAGACTGATTAGCCTTGGGGCTTGACTCCTTCCCACTTTCTTCCCCGGTAATCCCCCAGGCCTGCGTAGACAGGTAGAAAGCCCTTCCGTGGGCCACCCGGCTACCTTTCTCTCCCGGTATCTTCTTTCTCTATCTTCATCGACCCTCTCAGAATCCTCATCTCTCCTTTCTTTTTCTTCAATTCGTACTTTACTACCTAAAAAAACAAAAAAATTGAACATATTTTTAACTCTCCCAAATTTTAGCTTATAAAGGATTGTCTAACAGCTTGCTGATGTTACTACAAATACTGTTAACAAATATTTTAAAGTAGTCTTCAACAAAACACATTTCCAAACACAAGAATGACAGGTCTGCCAGGCACTAGTGGCTCACTCCTGTAATTTTAGCTACTTAGGAGGCTGAGATCTGAAGATCAGAGTTCAAAGCCAGCCTGACAGGAAAGTTCCCCGAGACTCTGGTCTTCAATAAACTCCCCAGAAAAGGCCAGAACTTGTGCTGTAGCTGAAGTGATAGTGTGCTAGCCTTGAAATAAAAAAGCTCAGAGACAGTGCCAGGGCCCTGAGTCCCAGAACTGGCACAAAAGTGTGACAAGTTCTAGTGTGTAAACTTCAAACAGAATAAAATAGGCACTAAATATGGCAATCTAAGAAACAGTTATGAATTTTTTTCCCTTCTTCTTGCTGAAGCAAGCTGGCAAATGTGTAAGTTGTACCCATGGTAGTCGAAAGGGGCACCAACACCCGCGCAAACATCTTTAGGGCTTCTGTGTCCAGAAACAGAGCTGCATGGACAGCAGAGCTGTCTAAGAAAGATCAGCCCTGTTGGCCAAATTTTTAATCAAGTACGAAGCCCAAAGGAAATTCCTTCTCAGCAACACCCGCCACGGCCTCCTGAGACCCCTACTGGGGAAACAGGCAAGAGGAGGGCTCCAAACATGCAAGGGGCCCCCATGAGGGGAGGCTGACACCAGTTACGGGCAAAGTGAGGATGTTGCCCACAATCTCGAGAGAAGCCACTGGCAGGGGGAAGCAGGGAGACTCTATGCTATCTAGCAGACCTCAGAGGGTGGACAGCCTGTGATTCAGAGGCGAGGCCCAGCTGGGCACTGAGTCTGAGAAAGCTAATGGATAAGTGTCATTTAGACTACGAGACTAGATGCAATGAGCAGGAAAGGGAGGCCCTTGACAAATGGAGAAGTATAAGGAAAATGAATGAGGAAACAGATCTATGGGTGATGACAGAAAGAACTTCAAAGAGTCTAACTGTATAGCTGGCCTTTCCATCACATCTTAAATACTGTGCTGAAAAAATAAGAGCAGGAAGCACAAACAAAAAAGATGTTATTAGAAATAAACAGGAGGGGCTGGGAAGGTGGCTCAGTGGTAGAGCACTCGCCTTGCATGCCTGAGGCCCTAGGTTCGATTCCTCAGCACCACATAAGCAAAAAGAAAAAAGCCGGAAGTGGTGCTGGGGCTCAAGTGGTAGAGCGCTAGCCTTGAGCTGAAGAGCTGGGGGACAGCGCCCAGGCCCAGAGTTCAGGCCCCACGAACGGACCCAAAAAAAAAAAAAAGAAACAGGAGGGGCTAGGAAGGTGGCTCAGTGGTAGAGTGCTTGCCTTGCATGCATGAGGCCCTGGGTTCGATTCCTCAGCACCACATAAGCTGGAAGTGGCACTGTGGCTCAAGTGGTAGAGCACTAGCCTTGAGCTGAAGAGCTGAGGGACAGCACCCAGGCCCAGAGTTAAGGCCCTACCACCGACGAAAGAAAGAAAGAAAGAAAGAAAGAAAGAAAGAAAGAAAGAGAGAGAGAGAAAGAAAGAAAGAAAGAAAGAGGAAATAAACAGGATTGTCAAAATAATAATTTTAAAAAGCATTAAGCTGTAAAATAGCAGTTACTGTTAAAATTAATTAGTGGTAATTCAACCCATCAAACTCCATCTTAGTTATTCACACAACAAAAATAAGGCTATTTCTGCTGGGCGCTGGCGGCTCACATCTGTCATCCTATCTACTCAGGAGGCTGAGATCTGAGGATAATGGTTCAAAGCCAGCCAAGCCAGGAAAAGTCTGTGAGACTCCTAGCTCCAATAAACCACTAGAAAACTAGAAGTGGTGCTGTGGCTCAAGTGGTAGAGTGCTCGCCTTGAGCTGAAGAGCGCAGGGACAGTGCCCAAGCCCAGAGTTCAAGCCCCATCACCGACAAAAAAAAAAAGGAAAAAGAATATAACCTGGCACTGGTGGCTCACACTTGTAATTCTAGCTATTCAGGAGGCTGAAATTTAAGGATCATGGTTCAAAGCCAGCCCTGGCAGGAAAGTCTGTCAAACTCTTATGTCCAATTAACCACCAGAAAACCAGAAGTGGAGCTGTGACTCAAGTGGTAGAGAACTAGCCTTGACCACAAAAACTCAGGGACAGTGCCCAGGCCCTGAGTTCAAGCCCCATAGTTAACAAAAAATTTAAAAAATTAGGGGCTGGGAAGGTGGCTCAGTGGTAGAGCGCTCGCCTTGCATGCATGAGGCCCTGGGTTCGATTCCTCAGCACCACATAAGCAAAAAGAAAAAAGCTGGAAGTGGCGCTGTGGCTCAAGTGGTAGAGCACTAGCCTTGAGCTGAAGAGCTGAGGGACAGCGCCCAGGTCCAGAGTTCAGGCCCCATGACTGGACCCCAAAAAAAATTTAAAAAATTAAAAATATATATATATATACATATAAAATTCGGTATAACATACACATTGGAGGAAGGAGAGAAGAGAGGAAAAAGGAGGAGAGAGAGAGGGGAAAGGGAAAAAGAAATGAGAGGAGGGAAGGGAGAGAAGAGGGGGAGAGAAAGAGAGAGAGAGAGAAAAAGAGAGAGAGAGAAAGAGAGAGAGAGAGAGAGAGAAATAGGGGCCTGTACCTACAAAGCCAAAGCCTTCATAAATAAATAGGAGAAAATAAAATGATGCCAAATGCCCTGAATAATAAGAATATCTAAAAGAAACACATTTTTTTTTTTGGTCAGTTATGGGGCTTGAACTCTGTGCCTGGGCACTGTCCCTGAGCTCTTCAGCTCAAGCCAAGCACTTTGCCACTTGAGCCACAGCACCACTTCTGGTTTTCTGGTAATTTCTGATGCCGGGCATCAGTGGCTCATGCTTATAATCCCAGCTACTCAGGATGCTGAGATCTGAGGATCACAGTTAAAAGCCAGACTGGGCAGACTTTTATCTCCAATTAACCACTAGAAAACCAGAAGTGGCGCTGTGGCTCAAGGTAGAGTGCTAGGCCTAGAGTTCAAGCCCCACCACCGACAAAAAAAAAAAAAAAGTTTCACAGACTTTCCTGCCCAGGATGGTTTTAAACCATGATCCTCAGATCTCAGCCTCTGAGCAGCTGGTATTGCAGGTGTGAGCCACTGGCGCCCAGCGGGAAACACATTTAACAAAATTCTGTAGCCAGTCCAGTGTGTTCAGGTGAGTGAGGACTCACCTGAGCGGGTCTTCTTGTCTGCTCTGTCCAGCAACTGCCGGTCCCGTGCCTCCCGGACCAGGATGTTGTGGTAGGCGGCAGTCTGCTTGATCTCATCTTTCCTAGGCCTTCTATCCCTCTCTTTTTCTCTGTCCTTTCCCCTGCCGTGAAGCCTTTCTGCGTCTTGTTCCCGGTGTTTCTCTTTCAGCTTTTCTTTCTCCCGGTCTTTGGTGTCTTTTCTCTTTTCCCTGTGCTTCTCTCGATCTCTCTCCCCGTAGGGATTCTCCTTAGAGGTGTAGAGGTCTCTGTGCCGAGCATCTCGGTCTGGGTCCCTGTACTTGTGCTCTTTGTATTCGAGGAGGTCCAGTTCTGAATCCTTGTGCAGCTTCTTGTCTCTATGTTTCTTATCTTCCTTTGGACTACCTGATTGTACAGCCTGAAACAAGAAAGAAGCCCTTCCTTGACCAGGAAGCTTTACTAACAATTCCCTTTACTATCTAGAAATCCATACTTACTGGAAAGATCTTTAAAAAGACACTGGCTGCAAATTCTTTCTAATCCCAGCAGGACCTGGGCAGGGGTGAATGAATATTCTTGTCTTGTTTTGGTTTAGTTTTTTGTCCACTGTGGGGCTTGAACTCTGGGCCTGGGCGCTGTCCCTCAGCTCTTCAGCTCAAAGCTAGTGCTCTACCACTTGAGCCACAGTGCCACTTCCATCTTTTTCTGTTTATGTGGTACTGAGGAATCAAACCCAGGGCCTCATACATTCAAGGCAAACACTTACTACTGAGCCACCTTCCCAGCCCAATGAGTATTCTTATAGTACTGAAGCAGTTACATTTAGAATGCGTATCAGACAAGTTCGTGTTTACCGGAACACAAATCTAGATAAATACTTGAGACCAGGATGGGCTGGGGATGCCGACCAGCAGACAAAAATTAAAATTAAAGGCCGCCTGTAGTACAAAAAGGACAATGAGCTACATTTAAGTGCATGACACATAACCACCCCTTGGCAATATACAAAGCAAGGCTCTTTCTTATAAAACTCTTGGGAGGATTTCATCTCAATCCCAACCTTCCACCCCCAACTATGCGCCCGGAGGCACAACACCACCCACTCCACAGCTGGGCCCAGGAGCTGGAGCTGGCCTGGGGGTCAGGCTGGACAGCCAACAGGAGCCCTGCCCACATAGGGGTTTTAAACACAGGGCTTCATCATCTGTGAGTCCAAAATGCCTTTGAAATGAGCCTCATGGAACCAAAGTTATGCAGCAGTATGAACCCAGGAAGCCATCAAGTCCCACACAGCCCCAGCTTCAGTCATTAAAATCATTACCCAAAGGTGTTTCCTGAGGTCCTCTGCCTTCCAAGTATCATCTTTAGTTCTTCTCTAAAAAGAAAAGCAAAAAGAATTGTTAAAGTTCAAAATATAAAACTTTAGCCAGGCACTGGTGGCTCATGCCTGTCATCCTAGCTACTCAGGAGGCTGAGATCTGAGGATTGCGGTTCAAAGCCAGCCCAGGCAGGAAAGTCCATGAGACTCTTATCTCCAATAAAAACTGGAAGTGGCTGGGCGCCAATAGCTCACACCTATAATCCTAGCTACTTAGGAGGCTAAGATCTGAGGATCACAGTTCAAAGCCAGCCCAGGCAGGAAAGTCTGTGAAACTCTTATCTCCAATAAACTACCAGAAAACCAGAAGTGGCGCTGTGACTCAAGTGGCAGAGCGCTCGCCTTGAGCTGAAGAGCTGAGGGACAGTGCCCAGGCCCAGAGTTCAAGCTCCATGACCGGGAAAAAAACAACTGGAAGTGGTGCTGTGGCTCAAGTGGTAGAGCACTAGCCTTGAGCTGAAGAGCTCAGGAACAGTGCCCAGGCCCAGAGTTCAAGCCCTAAAACCAAAATAAGATATATGTATATAGATATATATAGATAGATATATCTAACAGTGAGCTTTTTTTTATTACACTCTAAATCAACAGCAATCATTTCTGATATGCTAGAACATACACAACTGCTTATCTACTGAAAGGTGGCAGAAAGCACCTGGAGGACCACTGTGCAACCGACTCTGCTATACCTGGGTGTAGCAGCACATACCTGTAATCCCAGCATGTGGGAAACAGAGACAGGAAGACCTCTAGTTTAAGGCTATGTAGAAAGAGGATATCTCAAAATAAAAAGATCATAGGAGCTAGGAAGGTGGCTCAGTGGTAGAGCGCTTGCCTTGCATGCATGAGGCCCTCAGTTAGATTCCTCAGCACCACATAAGCAGAAAAAGCCAGAAGTGGGGCTGAGGCTCAAGTGGTAGAGCTCTAGTCTACAGCTGAAGAGCTGAGGGACAGCACCCAGGCCCAGAGTTCAAGCCCTACGACCAACAACAACAAAAAAAAGATTATAGGAACATGGAATTTTTAAATATATTCACCAACCTAAATTACCCTAGCTACTTCAAAAATTATTAAATATTGCAAAATAAAAGAGATAATAGGCTGGTCACAAACTTACAGGCCCCAAACAGCTGTTCTGACTGCTTGTCAGGGTTGGCCTGTGATCAACACTGTATTACCCTATCAGACAAGATCAGCAGTGGCTCCAAGTGTCACCTGTCCAATCCTCTGCCATAACTCCAGTCTCGACCCTAACAGTCACAAGCGCAAAGCCACGTCTGAGCTGTGTTGATGGCACACAGGCAACATCACTTGCCCAAGCACGGTCTCTAGTCCTGTGGACCCAGCATCAGGTATGGCGTTCACAATGTCATCACCTACCTCCAAAGGACACCAGCAAGAGTCCTCACACCATAGCTCGGAATAAGATACTACTGCGCCTCTTGCCATAACCAAGATATGGAAATAGCCTGTGTGCCTCCAACAGACAAATGGATCAGGACAATGCGGTAATATACACAGTGGAACTTTTATTCATCCACTAGGAAGAATGGTATGACATTGTTTGCAAAGACACAGATGGAAAAATTATGCTGAGACAAAAGATGCGTGCTTTCTCTCCCATGTGGAAGTCTGATAGCACTGAGTCTGTTCTACACAGGGGAAATGGACCTCAGATGGATTCCTTCGCAGACCTGGCTAACAGACTGAAAATGGAAGCCTGTGGAGGCTGCTGAGAACAAACAGGATGCTGAAGAGCTGGCTGGATTTACTGGTTTCTTTGAGGCAAGACATTATTCTACTTGGACAATAGACATGATATGTGAAGAGAGCAGAAAACAGTGACTCCTGGTGGCAAACAGAACAAAACCATAGCCATCTGGGCAGGGCAACTCGTGCCCATGGAAACAGCAGCATGGCTTGTGCCAAATTCTGACACAACCTCCCCACCAAGGCCATTGGAAACCAAATCCATATGATGCTGTATTCCACCAGAGTTTAAAACTAACAAAAAGTAAATAAAGTGGATTGTGCACTTGTTAAAAAAAAAAAAAAAAGCAGGGCGCCGATGGCTCACACCTGTAATCCTAGCCTTGAGCTGAAGAGCTGAGGGACAGTGCTTAGGCCCAGAGTTCAAGCCCCACAACTAACAACAAAAAAAAAAAAAGCCAGGTACCGGTGGCTCACACCTGTAATCCTAGCTGCTCAAGAGGCTCAGATCTGAGGATGACGGTTCATAGCTACCCCATTCTGTGAGACTTTTTTTTCCCAAGGGCTGAGGACCAAACCCAGGGCCTTGCGGGCACCAGGCAGGTGCCCTTCCGCTGAGCTAAACCCCCAGCCCCTGTGAGATTTTTATCTCCAATAAATGACGCAAAAAAATGCTAGAAGTGGACCTATGGTTCAAGTGGTAGAGCACTTGCCTTGAGCTGAAGAGCTCAGAGACAGCACCCAGGCCCAGAGTTCAAGCCCCACAACTGACAAAAAAAAAAAAAAGTGGGAAAGAGAGATATCAGATACAGACATTAAATTGGTAACAACATATTATACTCAGTATCACGGACCGGACAGTGGAGAAAAAAGCTGAGCTACACTTCTGTACAAGGTGACTGATATATAAAGGGAGAATGGGGGAGTGTAAGGGGAAAATCTGAAAGGCTGGCCAGGATAAAAGCAGTCAGGCCAACAACATCTACTAACTAATAATTACTATCCTCCAGAGAATGCAGGCAGAGGTCTCGACTCCTGGAGCGCACATGCCAAAGGAATGGCCCTCAGGCCTTGGTGGAGAGGCTCCGGAGCTACAGGAGCTACAAAGACTCGCCAAGCAGTATTCACCTATTGCTGGTATAGCTGTTCCATGAAGGGAAGTCAAGGGCCTATCCTCACATGACAGCTCTGGGCTTTTCCAGCGTGATAAGGAAACCTAGGTTGTCCCAGGAACTCATCCTTTGGCTGACACAGCTCTGTTAAGATTCGGTCAAGGCTCTTGGCAGTCCTGGATGAAGGGTTCATACAGAGAGTCTGGGCAATCCTCAAGGGAGCCCAATAACTGGACTAGTGAAGACCAATCTTTGGAAAGCCCACCTGCTTTTCTAAAAACAGCATGAAATGGTACTGCATTGTACCTAAACAGTTCATCACTCATATCTCATATCAAAATAAAAAGGATACAAATTTATTTTATCCTAAGGATGACCAAAATATACAAAAATAGACTTTTATCTTTTAAGTTCTGATTAATAAATTTCTACTTTAAAAATGTCCATTCAACTGCTGACCATTGGTGCTCATGATTATATCCTAACTACTCAGGAAGCTAAGATCCAGAGGTTAATAGTTCAAAGTGATTGAGTGTGAGTGTCAGTGTGGATGAATCCACACTTGTCCATCTCCAAAATAATCAGCCACCAAAAAGAAGAGCTTGAGGTGTGACTCAAGTGGTAGACTGCCAACAAAGCAAGTAAGTTGAGAAAGGGGGAGGCTCTGAGTTCTAACCCTGATTCCATCAAAAGAAAAACCAAAGTCCATTAAACATGTATCTCAGGCTGGAGATTCAATTCAGTGTTGTAGCATTTGCCTAGTATGTGCAAGAAACAGAGTTCCATCACCAGCACTGAAAAGTAAACACACATATGTGTGTATGTAAAACCTAAAAGGGGCTGAATGGAAAAAGATTCCAATAAATTGCTATATACATTCCAAATACCAAGAAGATCCTAAACCTTCTAAAGAAAAAGAAAATGGTGCTTAGATATCTAATCACACAGAGTGGTTGACAAATAAAATGCCTTCAAATTTTGCAGATTTTTTTATCCTAGAGTTCTTTGTAAGCCTAAATGACGATCTCTGTGTTTTTAGAACAGTTTCCTTCCTACCTATCCTTGAAAAGGGGAGCAGACTCATTAAAGATGAGAGCACTGGATCCACTCCGGATCCTATCCAATGTATACAGGAGAGGAACTCACAGCAAACGCCCCGAGGGGAGGGGAGGGGGGACCCCATCCCCGCCCCAGGGGAACCCCACCTCCCGCCCCAGGGGGACCACCACCCTCCTGCCAGCCCAACGCCAAACGGGGGGGAGGGAGAACCCCACACCCCCCTTCCACCAGCCCATTCCCCCGCCCAACCCCGGGGGACCCCCCCACCCCCCGCCCAACCCCGGGGGACCCCCCACAACCCCCCGCCCA